AGTTTTATTTTAGTACAAATTAGAGAACAATAAAACTTAGCTGGTGAAATAAAAAAGTTATTTTCTTGAAGGGATGCATTTCTTCTGCCTCTTTCATGTCAGAGTTTTGAATTAAAATCATCCAGCCCTCTCTGGATGATTTACAGAGTTGTAGCAGCTTAACTGATGTTACGACACACTAGTGCTCACATTATGTGTTGTGAATGACTTTAAGCTACAACCACATCAAATTTTAGCTCAATATCTGTATAAATGACTGAGCTGTTGTCATTTTTTTGTTGGCTAATTTTGATTAGCTGTGGGGTTCATTGTAAATTCAGTTGACTCCAAAAGTTAATCAGTTGTGAATGTTACTTTAAGGGCGTTTTATTGAAATCAGTCAAGTGGTTCAAGAGGTATTTTGCTAACAGACAACAAAGGTAATGGGAAATTTCTGAGCAAAAATATTGCACAATGTTTAGTGCTTGGAATATGTAATTTGGGCGATGATCCACCACTCCCACACCACATTTTAACCCAATATCTTCAAAAATAAAACCACATAAAAATGGCTTGAAATCAGTTTTGTGTTTCCTAAGGTCATTTAGCAGGGGTGGACTTTTTGAATTCAGAAGAATTTAAGTGTAAGTAATTGTAGATATACATCCAATGATTAGTTCAGAAAATCCAGTGGTTCATGAGATTTTTTGCTAAATCTATCTAATCTAAATCTAAATCGTCGTCTCTCGCCTTCAGCAGTGGCTGATAATTAAGCTTATGAGCGTACCAAGATAATTTAAGGCGATGCTGCAAAGTGGAAGCATGAGGCTCCTCTGAGACCATGTGCAGCCAATCGGTTCCAGTTGGTCCCTCATCCCTACAAAGGCTCTTTGATGTGAGCGAGGCCTTTAAATCTAACCCATAGGGAGTCACAAGACCGGCCCGCCTTTGATCTGACTGAAGGAGAAACCTGAACAAGACCTGCTGCACAACCACCAAACCTCTTCCTGACTGACAATAAAGGTGCGAGCACACATTCACCGGAGCGTCGTCTGAATCCGTCAGGGCTGCAGCATAAAATGAGAGGAAGCGAGTCGGTCCTTGTTTTTACAAACAACTCGTCTATTTTTGTTCAGCTTCTGCCAGCCCCCATCAGCTTCCTCATCCTGTTATGCTGCTGGCGTCTTTCCAAAAATACTCTAGCTTCTCCTCCTCTAAGCTCCTCTTCTTCCCTGTCTTCTCCCACTTGGTGCTTCGGACGAACAAAATGTCTGCCATGCATGAATCCTTCCTCGTAACCCCCTTCTCTCCCTCCCCGTCAGCTTCCTCTGCTGAGCTGTGCAGCAGTTACATAAGAGCCGAGGTCAAAGTGTCACTGCCATTGTCAAGGGAGATGCGGAAGGGGGTGGGGGTGGGGGGAGGCTTTGGAGGAGGGAGAGTGACAGGCGAAGGAGAAGGAAAGTATTTATCTGCTTAGAGGATTTTCACCTGTGCATGAAAACATTTTGAATGTATTTCAAAAGGGCAACATGATGCAGGGAAGTGTTTCGGTACGAGTGCCCTGAAAAAAAGGAGGAAGTGTCAGAGGTGGACTGAACAAAAGAATGTGCACGCCTGTGTTTTATTATGTGTGATGCTCGGAGCTCCTCTGCTGCTCCACTAACCCAGTTTGAGTAATCTCTGCCTTCATGCTGTTTCATAACGCTGCTGCCAGATCGTTGCATCATAAGGCCGCCCGCTAGAGCAACATAACTCACCACTCCTCCCGCCGTCATCCATCTTGTTTCCAGAAAACACAATCATCTATAATATACCCAAGTGCACAAACAGCTTGGACTGCTTTCGTTTGCTTTGGCTGACGAGTTCCAAGTCGTTCCGCGAAAGAACAGAAAGTTATATAATTTGCGCCACAGACTTTTAAAACGACAAAAGCACGAAATGTGAACGAGGAACGGAATGGAGCGGCGGTGACGTGTTTCTACATGCTGGTTGCTGCAAGGAAAACATGAAGCAGACTCATGAATAAGAATTAACGAGCACACTGGGTGTAAACTCCGCAGATTCCCTCAGGGAAGCAAAGTTGGTGAGCAAGAGCCGGGAAAACAGCCAGAAACATTCGCAGGCCCAAACTCTTTCTGGTTCAGTTGGGCTCTGCACAGTGAGCTCACAGCTGCAACAGATCACAGCACGGTCCGTGAAAACCTGTGAATTTTTGTCTGTGCAGCCTAAAGTCACTTCTTCATCAGAAATCACTTGATCATCGCATGTGACACCTAACACTGACTCCAGTCTGGGTGCAGGAACCAGGTTGTTGGTCCACATGGGACCAAAGTTTGCCACTTTTCTGCCCAAACAGGTCCTGAGCAGATGCGGCACCCCAAAAGTGAAGCCCGAACAAAAACCAACCCTCGTTATGGAATCGGCGAGCTTAGAGGGATAGCTCAAACGTTTTGAAGTGGAATTTTATAAAAAAGGTTTATGAACAATTATTATCTTACTTGTTGTATGTTGTTCTAACTTACAACGCTGTCAACCACCTAGCTCCATCTTATATTACAGATCTTATTGTTCCGTTTTTCCCTAACAGACCACTTCACGCCCAGACTGCAGGTTTACTTGTGGTTCCTAGAGTTTCCAAAAGCAGAATGGGAGGCAGAGCCTTCAGTTCTCAGGCTCCTCTCTTGTGGAACCAACTTCCAGTTTCTGTCCATGAGGCTGACACGTTGTCCTGTTTTAAGACTTTCCTTTTTGATAAATCCTATAGTTAGGGTCAGTTTGGTCTCCTGACTTATTCCTTAGTTATGCTGCTATAGGCTTAGACTACTGGAGGACTAATTGATTGCATTTAATCAAATGAATAGTTACAAATGAATAATTTGTATTTGTAATTGTTTCTATTTTAACATGTGTTTATTTTATCTTTCCTCCTAGTGAGGGACCTGACCTGCCATTCTGTGTCTCTTTCTCCTTCCTGTCCTCTCAAACCCAGCCGGTCGAAGCAGATGGCCGCTTGTCTTGAGCCTGGCTCTGCTGGAAGTTTCTTCCTGCTCAAAGGGAGTTTTTCCTTTCCACTGTTGCCATTGTGCTTGCTCAGGATGGGAGACTGCAACAAAATGAAGACTCAACGCAGTCTGCTTCCTTCCTTAGAAAACTTTTATTATTGGTATTTATAATGTAGACGAATCTGTTCAGTGCCCTGAGACGACTTCTGTTGTGACTTGGCACTATATAAACTGAAATGAATTGAATTGTAGATTTTGCTCTTTGAACAGCAAGTTTAACTCAGACCAGATTGACAAGTTAGTGTTTGAGCGTGGCCAAAACCAAAGAGATTTAATGTGTTTTTTTAAACTGACCAAACTGCTTTTGACAGCTAAACATTTAAAAAAAACAGGAAGAGAACAAAATAAGCAGAGGCGCCATAAAAGAGAGGTCAAGGGGGCCGATCCACCCCACTCCTGTAAATTTGCTGAGCCACCCCCCAGCGGCCCTTCTTTACCTGACAGTCTGTCTGTCAGCGCTGTTGTCTAATAAAGAACCAAAAGTATTTTAGTGAAATGTTTAAAATGTACTCATTAGATGTAAATCTACAAGGTCAACCTCAGCAAAAATAAAAATGGCTCCAACTCAGTCAAGCTAAAATTTTGTGTGGTTGTTTATCTTATTTCTTCATACTTTTTTTTTTTTACATTTTAGGAACTTTTTGTATGAACCTTTATATCTGTTGCTGCTGTTACACTTGAATTTACCATCTGTGAGACAATAAAGGCTGTTTGTGTTCTGGTCCCCTCACATTCTTCACTCATATGTCAAACTAAAGAGCCATGGGCCAAATCTGCACCCCCCGCAAGATGATAATTTAAATGTTAAATATTGTCTATCTTCTAATTTTTTCTAAAAATAAAAATAAAAAAAAAGATAAATACATCATTTAGTGTAGACTTCTCTTACCAGCTGGTTAATTTTGAAGCCAGAAAAAAAAAGGTTGTATCATTCTGTCATTGTTGATTCTGATGTGCAACAGAACGTCAAATGAGACAGATCAAACTCTTGTTGAAGAATCTGCAACCAAAATATATCATGTAATCTGACTCGAGTTAATGTATCAGCTGAAAGTGACCCATGGCTCGGACAAAGTTTTTAAGTTTTGGCTCCTTTTGGAGTTCAATGCCTCTATGAATCTTTCCTGTTCCATTTGGCATAATGTGCATTCTGTCAAGGACTCTTGAGCTCTCGTGTCATCTCTCTGCTGATCAGCAGACCAGTTTGATCAGTTTTGCTGCTCTTTTTTTTGTTTTTTAATAAAACAAAACTTACAGAGGAAAGGTGCTGACATAACTTTCAAATCCCACGTGCTGAACAAGAAAACAGCACGAGGCCTCTTATCGATTGCTGCTTTAATTACCCTCATGTGTTTATCTGTTGGTGTTGTTGTTGATTGTTTGCCTTTTCCGAGTCAGTGTTTGTTTGCCTGCTCCCAGCCACCTTAAACTCGCTCCCGCGTGCGCGGCCACGCGCGCGTCGCGGGAGGAGCTGTCGGCGGTGAGATCATGTGAGAGTCCACGCTTGAAGAAAGTAGGTTAGCAGGGTAGACTGAGAGGAAAGCAGGCGCAGAGGGGGGGTCCGAGCAGCACTCCTTCACGGTGGGACTGATCTGTCAGAGGGGGAATTAAAAAAACAACAACAACAACAACAAAAACCAGGAGTCTGATCTGTTGGTCCGCGCGCACAGACGGAGACGATGAGAACCCGAGAGACTTCCCTCACTCTTTTATTTTGCTTCAACTTGATCCAACGATAACGGGGGGGTTTCGGACACTTTTCTGGTTTTTCTCCTCTTTTTTATTTTTTATTTTTTGGACTTTGCACAAAGGTCTATTAAAGCTCTAAGCACTTAAATGTTTTATCTTTTTTTTATTTCCTCTCCACCTCTTCAACTGACCCTCATGTAGCCGGCGCTTTCTCGTCCTGCCCAGAGAAGAAAACATAAAAAAATGAGAGGTAAGAAGTTAATATGTTGTCAAAATAAATCAGTGCTGCTGAGCTTTGATCCCAGTTTGTGCGGGTTGGATCAGCAGCCACATGTGTGCGCACGGACACTGGAGCGCGCCTGTTTTCCTCTCAGTGCGCACTAATCCCTCATGGCTGGATTATGGCTGCACGCAGAGCCGCAGGCAAACCTTGAGGTTCATCATGCGTTTATTTAAACTGTCTTTTTTTTTTTTTTTTAAGAAGAATTAATTTTAAACATGATTTGTAGTCGAGCGCCTTCATAATAAAATCATAAAACAGGCTTTGCTTAAGTGCGCAGTTGTGCGTTCTGGCTGCGCCTGTCTGTGCCAAATTCTTATGTGAGACATACCTCACCCCGAGAGTCCTGTACGTGGAAGAGTTATGCAATGAGGGGAGGGAGGGGCGCGTGGAGAGGTTGTTGATAACCAAAACCACTATTATGTAATGGATGTAATGTTAGTCGACCGTGTCAGATTTCCCACAAGCGTCACCAGAAGACTTCAAGTTGTGCATGTTTGCGCACTTTGTTTAAATGATGGAGGGAATCAGATGCTTTGAGATGAAAGACTTCAGAGATTCGCAAAGTGCTTCTAAGCTGATGGTGGATCAGCGCGCGTGGCGTGGCCGTGGAGTTGTTATGATGGGGTGGGGGTGGGGGGG